TGGCTCTGTCAGACACAGGGGAAGCTTCTAGCAGCTTCTCACAGAAGCCACCCCTGTAGCCCCCCCACTACCAAAACCTTGCCACGCAAACCCAACACATTCTCCTTTCAAGTCACTGGTGCACAGACATCTTAGTTCTTTTAGTGGGAGAAACAACTGTCCAATGTATAAATTCCTTAGTCTTAAAACACATTAGGGATGCCCCTAGCCTCTGCCCCTTCTGCAGGCTCTTAAAGCAGCACCTTGGGAGAATCCAGTCATGAAAACTTGGCCCAAAAACCAGCTTATGTCCAATAAGGAAGAAGAATAAAGGAGAAGGGAGTAAAGCAGTTTTTCCCCTCAAGTTATGTACACTAACACTAAAAGATGATGCTGAAGTCAAACAGGGCTGAATGAGGGTAGCTAGGGACAGAATTTTACATGCAACATGAACAAGCAACATTTATAGATACTTTTTTTTTCCTATCTAAATGAAGATTTTCTTTATTTTGGTTATCATTTTGGCTTGTGACAACTCAAATGTTTCACATTTTCTTTACCTAAGGATATCTAAGGCTCAAGTCCCTAAAAGTTTATACATAACCTTTAGTCTCACTGCAAAGGTCACCATCTGGTATTGTTTGTAACTTAGAATTCTACTTACATGTCCTGGGAAGGCAGGAAAGGAAAAGCACTAGTGTCATCACCCACATTGGTTTATTCTATTTTCACTTTTTTCCTCCCAGACTTTAACAATCATTTTTTTTTAGTTGCAGAAATACAATGGCTGTTTGCATTAATCACTTCACAAGATGAAAGAGGATTAAGAATTCATAAACTGGCAGCATAAAGTAAGTCACTGGAATCCCTTAACAGATCATTTTGATTTAGGAGACCTGGCTTGATTCTCCATAACATTCTTTTTTTGCTTGGCTATATAGTCACCAGAACTTCCAACTTACCACCCTGGACAGGTACATTTTTTATTTGTCCAAGACATTAAATGTAAAGATACGGTGTACCTGCAATACTACTGGAAGGCAAACCCATTCCCTTTCTCACCACCACCCAAAAGACAGCTTCAAAAAACCTGAAGCACAAAATGACTTTCCTCTGTTTTCCCTCAAAGCAGAAAGTGGCAGAGACTGCCGCCTGTGGGCAAGAAGTCTGCTAGAATCACATAGGGAGCTTTCTGCAGCAAAGCATCTATCCATGTCTTTCATCCACTGTTATTGTGAGCCATGATTCACCATTTGTTAAACAGCAGTATTTAAGTTTCAAATCGTGAAATCCACTATTAAATCTTATGAATCCAGAACAGGTAGGACATGCTAACCATAATTACTGCCATCTTATTTTTGTCTCAGTTATCTTTAAGTGGCATTGCATTGCTTTAAGTTCAAACCTTTTTAGAGATGAGCTTTATCTTATGGCTCAAACATGACCTTAGTTAGAGGGCAGTCACTATCCAAGTGATCAGCTAGCAAACCCTGCTGTTTAATGAGGAAGAACAGGCTGGTTGGAACACGGATTGCCATCAGTCACCAACAACTGTAAAATATGTTCAAATGTCTGCATTCCCTAATAACATTTATTTCATTTCTTCTCTCACGATTTTAGAGCCCAAACAAGTATCCTTACTCTTCTGATAATGGAATAAGAGTAGATGAGAAAAAGTAACTCTTAAGAGTTCTCCTAGAAATTCAAGAAACTGAATTTAGTAAACAAGAAGTACAGGGGTTGCAACAAACAAAAAACCAGGAATCCCTAACATTAGAGACCTAGAGATTAGAGCCCTAATAGTCCAGTAATTTACAGATAACCAAAAGTTATTTCACCATTTAATTTTAAGGATTCGTAAGAAAAAAAGGCACTAGCAGCCTATAAAAGGGAGTATTGATAAGGAAGTTTTATCATCTTTGAGAAAGTAAGGAGGAAGCACATAGTGCAGTGTTCAGACTATATGCAATATTGCATTTCTGCAACTAAAGCACACAATTTCTTAGTTAAAACCATTCAAGCTCATCTAAAATGTTATCAAGTGCCCAAAAAATGTGAAATTTTCTACACTTAATCATAATCTACCTCTCTAGATCTAAATAGACTACAAAGCACTAACCATCTGCTACATGGTGAAGTCTTAGTCTATGCTACTGACATTAGCAGAATGCTTAAGTTACACTTGAAAAGGGAAAACAAATCATGCATCTGATCAACAAGAAGTCAAAACATCTGTTTCTTTAAATCATGATTTACACTACATACTTTTATGGTTTTAGTTTGAAGTCTCAATCCATTCAGAGTGTTGATAGCTTTTTCAGCATCCTTGGGGTCAACGTAGTTCACAAAACCATAACCCAAGCTCTGTCCTGATTAAAAAGAAGAACAGTGATCATTAGTACAGTGCTATGCAATGGATAACTAAGTGTTTAAAATCTATATAGACACATTGAGCAAAAATTGCTTATATTGAAGAACAGTATCTGCCCCAGATAACAAAGTTTCAAAGGCTCACAACTAATTTTTTCAGTAAGGTTAGTGTTTAACTAGCTTCCTATGTTCCCATAGACTGCCTTAAGTTCACTGCAGAAATGGCCACAGTCAGTTTAATGAAAGAACTTAAAATTGCTATCCAAAATATGTTCAGGAGTTTGTTACGATCTGTTAGAGACTAGAGGAAGTGAAGGAACTTCAAGGTTAAGATGGGCAATTCAGACGCTAGATGGACATAAAGCATTTTAATTAGCTCTTAATCACTGAACCACAGCCTATTATTTAACAGCTATGCAGTCTAAGCACTTCTTTTTAAAGACTTGAGAGTTTAGCAGTAGTCACTTCTTGACAACTTCAAAACCTAAAGTATACCATCCTTAACTAGCTGCTTTCAGCATACTCTTTTAAAATATTTTTAGTGCATAAGTATGCAAATAGGTAGCAAAATTTAACATAGCAAAAGGATACCACTTAGTAAGAATACTATCCTTCATTAGCATGGATGTTTTCAGAAACTATCCCCCATACTCCTTGACTATTTTTTTTTTATAGAAACTGAAATGATGAGGTCCAAAAACCAGTCAACAAGCCAACGGGAAACATCCAATATATCTAATTCAGAGAATGCTAGTTTGAAAGATTAGTTTGGAGATACAATAATATAAATGGATAAACAATAGTACATAAAGCACAAAACGCAAATTCATTTATTACTAAAGACATAAAGGAATCTATGCTGTATTGTGTTCTTGTCTATATTTCTTTAATATATACTGTCTATACAGTATATATTAAATAGTATATAAAGCAAAAAACTGATGGAAAATTTGTAATTGATTAAATAAGACAAGAGGGTTTAGTAACAAGCCCACCACTGCTGGTATTCATAATTTTGTACAAATTAGGCTAACTTTTGGTATGATGGTAGAGGACACCACTACCACCCCGCCCCTCCAAGATAATCAATTCTTCCCACTCTCCTCCTTAAAACAGGACACACAAACACAAATAAATTGGCTAGATGAAGCCATGAACAGGTTACTATATGCAAAGTTATTAACACAAAAATCCAAAACCCAACAGGACAAAATTCTGAGCAACCTGCTCTAGACAGCCCTGCTCTGAACAGGAGGTTAGACTACGTGATTTCCATAAGTGCCTCCAACATCAGCAATCTGGTGTTTCTGTAACAAACAATATAGAAATATGCAGAAGCATTTCTCTATTCATTTACAGCTCTACCTAGATATAACTAAGTTCCTTATCCTAGAAGTGCCTTTTTTCTCCTTATTAGTTTGATTATGGTAGAGCAATTTCTGTAACTGTCACCTCCATCACTCCCACTGTCTGCAGAAACTCTTCCCAGTACTGCCTCCAAAAAAAAGAGCAACTTAAAGCAATGTGTCTCCTTGTGCATGGCTTATTTTATCTCCTAATACAGAAATGGTATTTTGGTGTCATTATTGATTTTATAGGAAGGACCCCATTTAAACCACAACCTTAAAAGATGTTAAGACATCTAAGAGAAAGCTATTTCACATAAGACATTCCAAATACACCACTCCCTAATTCCAGAGTGAAAAGAAAAAGATGGGCAGAAATTACTTCTACTACCCCTCTGTTGGTGTAATCTGTTTTTCCACATTAAAAACACCCAGACCACTGCAGGTAAAGACCATACCCAGCTGTTACAAAGGATACAATTTATGACCAGTTCTTCTGCAGACATTCTATTAGTTAAGCTTGAGGAATATTAGTAGACCAACATAGAAAGCTGCACAAACAAAATCCAGTAATTTATTCAGGTCATATTTGAATCAATTTTTGCAGGTTTATTCTGCAATTTTGCAATTAAAAAAAGCTTTCACAGTGAGGGTTGTGAAACACTGAAGCAGGCCACCAGGTTGTGAAGTCTCCATTGGAGAGACTTAAAAAGTCTAACTGGACATTGTCCTGGGAAACCTGCTTAAGGAGAACCTGCTTGAAGAGGGGGAGTTGGCTAGATTATCTCCAGAAGTCCCTTCTGCCCTCAATGATTCTGTGAATGATTATTTTACTTAACTCAGTTTTGTTTAGTTTGGGATATCAGCTAAAATTCAAATGTGTTCAGATCTGACATTCCAAAGGCCTTAGGTGTTTGAAAAGGTTAAGAAAAGGTAAAGCTTCTTAGAGAGATCGAAATTTTGCCTGAAGATTAGTGGTTCAATTATACACCATCAATAATTCAGAGTCAAAAATCACTTTCTTCATGGAAGCACATAAAGATGAATCTTTGCTCTCAACAAGAAACACAAATAATTGTAAATTAAACCTGATTTCTAGAATCAGATGCTTGAGGGACCACTCTTAAGCCTTCCTGCTTGTGTTAAGGGAAGATGCTTAAGAGGTTTGCCAGTTCATATACAGATGGCTTAGTTTTAGAAAATCCAGACAAGCAATTCACAAAATGCAGTAGAAGCAGCTATTTCAAACAACACAGACATCTCAATTACTGCAAAGTATGTCTGACAGCTGGTGGTATTTCTCACTTGGTGGGAAAGTGCCAACTGGGTTACAAGAAGTTAGAAGCTTAGCTCTTCCTAAGTGTTTCATTCACATACAGGACTTCAGTCCAAACTTATGCTAGTACCACTGCGGCTGTACAAGCCAGAGAAGTCCATCTGATTAGAATTTCAGACGGAAGAGGAGCAGCATGCCCACTGCACACAAATTTTACACAAATAAAATTAGAGATGCCTGGCCAGTATAATTCAAACAAGTTCTCCTACTGTGCAGTTTTGTTTAACTTGTAAGGATTAAATCCTTACAAGTGACTGAGTTTCTTATTTTTGTGAGTTATTACCTGGGTCAGTAAGAAAACACTGACCACCTTCAAAGGGAATACTCTGCTCATTTGCAGAAGGGAGCAATACTTCAGCAGTTACATGCTCAAACTATCAAGTTGAGCTCTTCTTAATAGTTCTTGTGGCTATTTCACAGCACTGTTTAAAGCTCTTTCTGTACAGTTTCTACTAGATTTTATGCTTGAGGCTATATGAATATTAGACAATGTGGGGTGGAATAAACCAACAGTTAACGAAATGATTGGTAAAAGAAGAAAACACCTGAAGTAGGAAAAGCCAAAGTGACAAAATGATCTGAAAGGAATTAGGAAATGCATGAGGAAAAGCAGTGACTTGAGTTTCGCTTCAACAAAACCTGATTAAAAAACCCCCTAAATCCACACAACAGAAGTGCATCTCACAAGCCTGTAAGACAGCAAAGGACTTAAAGGAAAGGTAATGAATATGAACTTTAAAAATCATAAACTACATTTTAAGTTTTATGTAACTGACACTTGCAACAAAGTAAAATTCAAGCATAGGTAGCAAAAAAGTCCTTGCAGTGAAGCATTTCTTTGAAGCTAGGCATGCTATATCCACCACTAAGCATACCACTGACAAATGTTCAGCCTCTAAGAATGTGGCGTACAAGAAAACGTGAACTGGAAAGCACTATGCTACTCACTAATAGGGGAAACTGTTCCATTTATGTTTCAAGTTTATGAGCTTCATAAATATCACTTGACCACCATGTATGATGATGATGCAAATTAAAAGAGTAATTTAAAGTTACTTTCTGACATTACAGTTGATACACAGAATGGATTTTGAGAAGAAAGGGGCAAAAACCAATTTCAAACAATTTAATTCTAATCAGTCTTTGAAAGGACTACAAGAAACTGTGTGGAGATCCATGTGCACACTAGAAAAGCGTAGAAAAAGTAATACATATGTTAAATAAGCAAGTAAGGAACACAATGACTCAGTATTTCAGAAAGCAAAGTAGACAGACTTCACAGGCGCTGGTCAGCAAAAGACCAAAACATTTTCAAGAAGAGGGAAGTAAACCAGTAGTAAAAAAAGTCACTTTTTTTTGCTTTGAAAATGAACACGCTCACAGATTGTAACAGAGTACTGTTGCAAGAATGGAATTTTAGAAGTAAAAATTCATGATGAAGACTTATATTGGAATATTGGAGTGTGCCACTAGTGAAGAAATAACAAAAAGTTCGAGAAAATTAACTGGTTGTTTAGCAAAATATAAGACAAATCTAATTTTTCCTTAAGGTAACTCAGAAGGATTGTGGGATTAAAAAAATGCATCACTACACTGCACTGTACATTTCCACGAGGCATGACGATTTACACCATCCAAAAGAGATTACTGCTGAATTACTGAATGCTCAAAAGCAATTACAAGCCAGCTCATACCACTTGATCACTATTAATCACTTATGCAAAGCTCTCATGAACTTTGGGAGGAATAAGAGATCTGGAAAGAAGGCAATTTTTCCTGTTGCCCTGTTGCTACCCAAATTATTCATAATGAAGAGATAAGCAAGAGAGTTGGTGACAGGAAAGAAAGAAAAAATAAGCACTGAAGCTGTCTGAACACTGATGCATCTTACTACCCAGGTCAGTCCTTTGCTGGAGAAGTGTTCATGCATGAAACACTTGGTTGCATGAAGCAGCCTAGATGTCCTGAGACATCCCCCAGTTCAGTGTTGGAAAAGTAGCTAGCTAAGGTAAGAGCAGAGATTGCTCAAGATAGGACAATGAATAGGACATGATCTCAAGTAAGAGTGCAGAGCAACAGGTCACTGATTTTGCTGGTTGCTGTAGTCTAAAGGTTTCACTTCAGTTCACTTCCATAGTAAATACAGCTCATCTCTTCCATTTCAACAGGAAACCTGACATCACTTGCCTTCTAATTTGTTATCAATTTAGAGATCATATATTCTGATTATAAAATGAGGCACAAATCATATGAAATGTTTGCACTCTAAAAACTGGTGGTACCTCCTTGCTACCGTCTGTCTACTGACAGTTTAAAGGCTGGACTGCTACTGGTGACTGCCTATCCAAGGTAGCAATTTATACCACAACTAGACTGAGGGCAGCACCTGTAAATACTAATGAAGAGTTAGACAAATGCAGGATAACAAAGGTTTTTACTTACTCTCCCAAGATAACCTATTATATTGGGTTTGCATAGCAAGGTTTGGGGAGGTGTCTACAGGGGTGGCTTTCTGTGAGAAGCTGCTAGAA